GCGTTCTTCCACCTGATCAAATTCCTCTTGTGGTCTGTCTTCCTTTCTTCAACCGTGTTACCCGTTTCGCTTATGTAAACCGCACCACATGAGCACGGGAGTTGGTACACCCAACCAGCTCGTTGCTCCTTAGGTTTCTGGGTTTTGAGGTGGCTTAGGCGGTTACGTAGAGTAGCAACAGGTTTGAATATCAGGTTGAGTCCGGAAGCAGATCCAACACGTCGCAGCTTTTCACTCTCTCTCTCTTTCTATATATGCATACCTTGGATGCATGGAACAAGTCTCATCGCTTATATATTCTGTACAGATTTTATTGTTAAGTGTAAACTTCAGTTTATTTGCAGTATTCGGTAAATTTTTGCATCATTTTATTTTGTTCAGGTATGTGTGTAAAAATGTGACTTGTAAATATTGAGGCATGACACGTTTCGCATTGTTTTAGATCGAAGGAAACAAACGTTGGCAGATATTTCGGGCATAATCTTCAAGCAAGTGAATACCATTGATGGGCTTGATTACTGGATCGCCAAATTGCAACCGCAGTATCAGTTCATTTTCGTTCTGTATTGCGGATCGCGGGAACGTGATGGCTTAAGTTGGTGTCCGCAGTGTAGAGCCCTCGAAGAACACCTCGTCGAAGTGGCACCCACGTTGCCAGACGATTTGGTGCTTATTTATGTTCAAGTCGGAACGTACGAAGAATGGATCGACGACAAGAACGCCTTCCGAACGAGTCAATCCACACATGTGCAAAATGTCCCCACGTTAGTAAATTTTAGAACGGGTCAGCGCCTGACTGAATATGAGTGCTCTAATTTTGCGAATGTTGATAAGTTCCTCTACCGGTTACAAGTGGAATAAAATAAAATGACTGTTGACGTCATCAGTAATTATTAACATCCACTTCGAGGCTATGTGTTTTAGTTTTTGTGATTTATTCATTGAATCTATGGTAACTGTGCCTTCATGGTACCTGGTGTTCCGTGTTTCAATTCAGATTAAACTTGGGAAGCGTTGCGTCTGAGAGCATACCGATTTGTTTGTATCAGCAGGGAAAATTACCAAGCCAATTGGAGTGACTCTGATCACTAGAGACGCTTCGAAGAAGGACCTATGCAAATAGAACACGTGGTACACACGTCAAGGACCAGAGGTGTATGCCGCTCTCAAAAAAATGCAACATAGCAAATCGTTTGTGGTGTCATATCGACAACCGGAAGATTGAACCAGTCAGCCTCGATCACAGCTCATCCTTAAGGGTCGTCGAGTCCGACAGGGCTTCTAACTTTCCCGATTCTGTGCCAGCGTTTGAACTTCCTCACAAGATGACCCCATATTCAGCAGAATGCAGCGAGATACTTCCCGGTTATTTATGACCATCCCCAGGGGCCTTGGGAGGGTCGGTTGGGAAAGTACCAACTATTTCCCTCTCCTTCTTGAGGACATTAGCAAGACGTGCCTATGCCATCTCCGCTGTGACTTCTCAGCCGGTAAACAAAAATCTAAGTACTCGCCATGCCCCTGATAAGTCAGAGAAGTCAACGCAACCGTCGAAGTCATTTCCACTGACTGTGATGTGAAACGACTCCTCGACTAAAATCTTAACTTTATTGCGGACCCTCCAGTTACCTGGATATTAGAGACGATACGTACAAAAATAGAGCGGTGATGATGATGCCAAATTAATGAGCTCATCATTTTCTCTTTGGTCACTAACCCTATGGAACCCTAAGTCACTTTGAATATGCGTTTACAGTATGAACATTCGCACCACAGACATATTTGCTTTAAGGTTATAGATAATTGGTAAAGTAGTGATATCACCACCTTACAGTGGTATTTAATACCTTTTCAGAATTCTATTTTATCCTCACATATCCTCATATTGGTCACTGCTTACTCTGGTCGACTTGAACACAAAGATGAGCGTTAACTGCTGAATCAGAAAGTGCTGATTTGCACCGGTCATTGATTCAATGGTTTCATAGTATGAAGGAAGTATAAAAAGGGAGACATGAGTTTTAACTGTAAATATCCCTTAGCAATAAATTCATTCAAATGGGTTTCTAAACAAGCTGTCAGGAAAGAGCTGGCAAATGTATGACTTCAGAATCATCGGAGGAGTGTCATTTCCTCGTGTAGTTCCCTTCAGAACGTCGCTAACTACAATGTTCAAACTGAGATTGATGTGTCACCTAACTGTCATCAACGTGGCTATAATTCGTAAATTAAATTCAGATCATGAAAATATTTCATAATGCTAGATTCATGTTTATTCAGAAATCTTTCTGTTAAGTTGATAGAGGAAGCATCCTGCTTCTTGTCAACAATTATTGCGTTTTTCTTCTGGCATAGAAGCCATCGTCAGGAATGTTTCCTGGTAGACAGTTGGAGATGAAAGTGCAGAAAAAATGTACAGCATAATGACATTCAGGAATTACAGAAAAATGAATAAACGGGGGATAAGTGGTTATCAGTGATAGCAAAGTTGAAACTAGAAAAGCAGAGGATAAAACATGAAATAAACGGGAAGCTTGCATGGTTGATTTAAAATCAAAGCAGATATCAGTGCACTTGTGAAACGTCAAACAAAGCTGCAAAACTGCATATAATGATATTATACAAGTGATTGTCTGACTGTTATGGTATAGTATGTTGCCCTGGTAGATTCTCTCTCTTTCGTCTTTGCTAAGAGGCATGTGACTTCTCACTAATCGCGTTGCGTCGCTTCTTAGCTCTTAGACACATGCCGAGCAATTTCAGCAAGACAACGTGCCTTTATTTACGTTCTTTTAATATCAAATGCATGGAATACTAACTGATTATGTATCCCTTATTATAGCCACATTTATGAAAAGAAATGCTCCAACCTATTATTTCATAAGTCTATAATTGGTGATGCCTCTCCTAAACACGTTTCAGTCACTTTTCAATTGTTGTAATGGCTGTCACCAACACTGGTTCAGCCGGCTCCAGTGGTTCCTGTGTGACAAACCCATCTTTTACCGTTTGTACCCATTACATTGTTAGTGCAATCACTTTTCAGCTTAAGTTGTTTTGCCATATAATTTACATCTCATTCATTGCATCTCATCATCATCATCGTCTTCCATCGCCGCATCTCCTTTCGGGTTGCGGAGGCAGACGCTTCAGACGGTGCTTTCAGCGTTTCCGATTCTGTGCCGGAGTCTGAGCTTCGGCAAAAGACAAATGGAATCTGGAACAGACTCTTTCCATATATTTGTACCAGGTTAATCTTGTCCGTCCCCTGGGCCTTCTGCCGGTCGGATTTGCAAGGAACAGTTGCTTGGCTTTCATTTCTGGAGGCATTTGCAACACATGCCCAATCATTGCATCTGTAAATTTGTTCTGGCAACATCGTTTTTTTAAAATAATGACCTAGTACTCCATGCACTGCGATATGCCGATTGTACCGGATCCAAATCAGTGAAGTGTATTAAAAAATCATGGCTTAATCTCTCTATACACTTAGCATAACTACATATTACG